TTTTTTTTTTTTTTTTTTTTTGTTGGGGGGGGGGGGGTCCACAGCACTCTATGCACAAAGAAGTGCTATAGATTAGTCTCTCCCCTCGGTAACTAATGCTAGTAACCCTAAGCTGATTCATAGTCAGGAATAACATAAATATTACTACTGAGGAGATAAAGTAGTTTTCTCAATGAGATGTGATCTATTCAACTATTTCTTCAACACGCAAAACTAAAACTTACTTTGGTTTATCTGTTAGGGTAACCATAGATCTGAGAACACCTGGACTGATCTTGTCAGCAAGAACACCTTTTTCTGAGATAAAAAAGGACTTCTCCTTCACATAGCTCTGTAGTTTTTTAGATTCATAGTCAAGTTGTGCTTGATCTGCATCACACCATGAGCCAGATATATGCAAATCACGTCCAATAGACCGATCAGAAAAACAAAACAAAATAAATATTCAACATGGACAGAGCAAAAGATGAACGCATATTTAGCCCTATCAAGCATATTGTTAAAAAATGAAGGACAGTGTTGTAATCACACTACACTGCTTCTTAGATGACAAAACAACTTGAAATATACAACACAAATATAAATTAGCACAGTCCAAAGAGGGTGCCTTCAAAATTTCTAATCATGGGATCCTCTTTAGCTTGGAGCCATGAATAAAAGAGCATTTACATGACGTAAAAGCATCATAATTCCCATAAGCAAGGAACTTTTAAGAAGCTACATGTCAATGTTAAACATAAATTGGCCACTAACACTTTTTGAACACTCCTAGACATATGTCAAGCATCACGTTGGTGGTGTCGATATCAAAACAACGAGCTTTGGACACTTATCCAATACTTCTTCGACATTGGACTACAAGAGAGTTACATCTTTGAGTTATGACTTACTGGACTATGAAGTAAAAAAAAAAAGATTTGAAGATTTAATTGAAGGGTGTGACATAAGAAATGATAGAAATCAAAATAATTTTGTGCACTTGCTATACTTGGTGCATACACCATGTTTGATTGTTGACTGGTATGACCATAATTAAAGATCTCACACCACAATCTTCGAACATTGCATACAGAAAAAAGCATTATCTCTTGACAAGTTCTCATTGTGTCCAAGTCCTACTTTCTATAAGGTTTATCACGTCGAAGTGTCAATGTCATGTCGTATTATTGTATGGACTGGAGTCTGTATTCTTCTTTGCAAAATATGACTACAGAACCTATTATTGATCAAACTATATTACTGAGTTATATTGGTAGTCGTACGTGTTTTACTTTTACCATAGTCAGAGTCATAATTGAAAGTTTCCTATTTGGTACTTTTATTCCCAGTAGAATTAGGAAAACCAGGCAGCCTATAATATGCATGTAGTCTTTTGATTCGATAAGTATTACATCATCAAGAATTGAGAGTGTGTTTGTGTGCTTTGCCAAATCCTTACATGGGTAAAGCATACTTTTTTTCCTCCTCCTCCATATTCTGCAATTTATACTAACCAAGTTGTGATCACTGCATCCAAAAGTTTCTCATTTCCATTCCTACAGTACTGAACGCCTAATTGACATCCACTATCTTCCAATAATCTAAAGAATGGACCAAGATAATGGAAGCTAATATGTTCAGCCAACCTAAAGAGTTCCAGTGACATCTGTAGGGTTGTTTCCTTTATTAAAAATATTTAACCTACATAGAGTAACCTAATGACCTGTGAAAAAATATGAAAACAAATCTAACACACCCTTAATACAGATATGCAGCATTTATATATAGCTTTTGTTGGGCATATAAACTAAGTCCTTGGGGCATTGTAATTATATAGTTAAACACTCAAACATTACGTTACAAGATGAGGGTTGAAACCAAAACCTTTATCCAAAATGGTATGAACAGCATGAAATGGAATCCTAGCAAAGACATCGGTTCCAGGGAACATCATCCATGTGTTCTCCTTGGAGTCATGGTTGCCACAAGTCGCACAGACCTCCTTCACCAGAGGCCTTGACCCAAGCCCCTCAATCTCCTTCATTATTGACTCAAATGGCAAAGGAACACCAGTTTTTGTGGTCCGAGCCCTCTTCCTTAGGGCAGTCAACGCTTCCCTGTTCCCATTTCTCAGCCTATCAGTTTCAACCAACTGCAATCACATTATGACAAATAATTAATACTTCTAAATCAATCTAGATTATTCATTTTTCTGAAGCAAGGGTATCAATTACCTGGTGTCGAGCTAATAGGAGATTTTCAGCTTCGTTTTCAACTTCAATTAGGCTTTTTTGGAATTGCTTCATAGTATCATCCATTTGAATTTCTTTTACCTATCACCTGAATTATTAATGAAACAATCATTACATTCGTATAAGCCATCAAATTAGCATCCAAAATTAAATCATACACACACACACACACAAAAGAAAAATGTATATGAATAACTTTATGTGCACACCTGAGTAACATAGATCATTCTAATAATGAGTTGTATGCCTTTCTTTAAACTTAAGAAATGCTTAATGTTGGAAGCAAAAAATTTTAGGTGCACTTACTTGACCGTTGTCAATTCTTCTTGAATTTTATGTGCCTTTCTTTAAGAATCAACAAAGTCAAATGCTAGGGCACTTGACCTTTAAAGAACTTGAAAAGAGATAGAAAGCCCATGAAGGGGGAGGGAGTACCCAAGGATCAAAATTTCGTTGTGAAAAAATTGGAAATTTGTTTTGGTACATTCTAAAACATTAGGCGCATGTAGATTGTAGTAACTATGAAACTTGATGTAGATCAATAAAAAGATATATAGGGATGAGAAGGGAACAAGAAAGGAGATGAGAATCATAATAACGAGATGAGAAATAGAAATCAGGCGAAACAATTCTTAGTATTATTCAATAATTCAAGTCTACCTAAAAATAAAATCCATCCCTTTATATAGGGAACTGCAAAACACTAAAATCAAAGATTCCTAATCAAATTCTACTACTGAACAATAAAAACAAAATAATATTTAAATAACTAAAACCAAAATAAATTTTTATCATTTATCCTATTTCAACCCGATCCTCATCATAAAAATTTTGAAACGTTGGGCGGAACATTTAGAAATACCTCGTTGCATTCCGAAGCGTCTTAAAACATAGAAACATAAGATGTTCGGTATTCAATAACCAATTCACCTCGAAACGAATTTTTTATCCTTGAGAGTATCAATGATTGTTGTCTGAGAATGACATATTTTAAGCGAAACAGTACTTTTTAATACAAACAGAAATATTAACAAGAGGTCCACAAGATTGAACCAGTAAAAGTTAACAAATGAAGATACAGTCCAAAATTTTATATAGCCAACAAAGCAAGCCTTATATTCAGTTGAACTAATGGGGAGAAATAGGATCCCGAGAAAATCTACACTTTTCATTGAGTTGGGCTCCTTCCAAATCTAAATTCTTTTCAATCTAGTCATCTATCACGGATTGGTAAGGTATCTACTTGAACATTGTTAAACTACTATCTTCTCTAAAAATTTAAGCTGGTAGAGAGCATGTACCTTTAAGTATTTATACTTCAATAAACACAATGGAATTTTAAAAGAAATTGAAAAGGAGTCTTACCCCATCTCGTCCTCATAAATCCCCCAAAGATCGTCACACTTGGATCTTTACTCACTCTTTTTTTTCCTCTCAAAGGTCCTGAGTAAATTTACACCTTTTTGGTCCAGTTTGACTTCATCCAACACTAAACTCTTTCTAATCCAATCGTCTATCCCTACTGCTAGGGGATGCACTTGACCAAATTGGATGGTGGATGATTATTTCAAAAGAAATTGGAAAAGTAACAACAATCGGAGAGGATTCTTACCCATCTCGTTTTTATAAATCCCCCAAATATTGTCACACTTGGATCTTCGCTCGCTCTTCTTGAGTGCAAAAATAATAATAAGTGCCTCAATGTATAACTTTCAATTCTCTTGCTCTCTTGCAATTTCATGTTTTCGAGAATGGCAGCAGATCCCATGAAGATTACTCTCTCACTCTCTTGAAGATTTTTTGTTCTTGCACTTCTCATGGATTTTGTGATCTAGTTGCATTTTTTCAGAACAATGCTTCCATATTGATTTGTTGTTTCAATATGAGTTATGACTATATATATAATGCTTCTTAAAGTTCGTTTTGTGATCATCTTTAGCAGAAAGTTTTGTTGTTACTCTTGTTTGACAAAGATAGAGTAGCAAAACCATCACCAATAATAAATAACAGAAATTGATTGAAGATGCAAGAGATCATATGAGATTGCTAATTCCAGATAGATACTATAATACATCCTATCCAAACATATAGTTCTTAACTTGAATCAACCAACTTTCTACTCAAGCAATGAAGTGACAGCAATATATATATACTAGCAATGCAACACGCACGTGAATGTTTTCTTTAAAATATTTGATAAAATACATAATATTTAATTACATAGTTACATAGATATAATCTCATATTTATCATACTTAAATTGTTTGTATTATGGATAAAGAGAAAAAGATACATATATTAATTTTTTGGCACTTGAGATAATATTTTATTAATGAAGTTGTCAATGTGTATTAATATTGGAGTTTTGGAGAAAAAGAAAAATGTTTTTATATTTCCTATTAAGAGTAACATGACCATCTAAAAGTTTTACAAATATAGAGATTTAGATGATATATTAGAGGTTTGTTTGTTATTTAAATATAGAGGGATATAATGGTAATCTGTATATTTAAATACAAAAGGACATGTTAGTCTTTATAATTTTGTGCAAAGGTAAAATAGTGAATCAAATATTTTTCATGTAAGGTACTTTTATTAGTAGAATATATATATATATATATAGAGAGAGAGAGAGAGAGGGGGGGGAGGGAGAGAAAGAACTGACCTATTATTTTGGTCCCAAATTGATGGTCAGCAGTAGAGGTGGCAAATTAGTAAATTGGGTTGGTTATGGGTTGAGTTAAATTGGATTGAGTTTTAAATAAATTTAATTTGTTTTTCACTCACGTATTAAATGGGTTGGCTTAAACCTTTTAAGCCATAAAATAATTAAAACTCTTAATAAACACAAACTATTATACCAAAATAAACACACACTGTTACACCAAAATAAACATACACACACAAAAATAGACACATACACTGCTACACCAAAATACATACACACACTATTATACCAAAATACACACACTATCACACCAAAATACACACACACTATCACACCACAATACACACTCAAATTCCTACTTTGCATTATCCAAAGTAATAGTGAAATTTTTTTTCTCAATTCCCCATTCTTTTAGAAAAGTAATCACTTTTTCTACTAAAAGGGGGTCCATTATGAGGGGGTATATGATGAAAGATTAATATCATTTTCTACAATACCCAATGTTCATCCACATAGTGGGCAATCAAAGTCATATAACCGTATGTAGTGCAAGAAGTCCATAAATCAAAGTCAAACAAATCCTACCTAGAATTAATTCAAATGCATGTTTAAGTTCTTTCTCCCTTTTATAAGCTTTCAAAATGTTCAACTTCACATTCGGATTTAATAAATTATGCAACTCTCAAATTCTTTCATGTTCTACAAAGTTAAATGGGTAACTATGCTTGATTATGACATTGGAAAGCTTCTTTCAATAGGCATCTTGATCAAAAGATAGTTGTGGTGCCAACTCATTTGTGTCGTGTTAGGACAACAAGTTTTGAGGTATCGCTTTAAATTTGATGTTCCAGACTTCCTGCCATATACTCTTGGTCACACTTTGTACACTTAGCTTTTTGTCTCCCCACACTAATTCTTAAAAATATCCCAAACTATAGAGTGAGACTTTCTACCTCGTTTTCCAATAACGGAAGAACTTTCTTCACCATAATCAGCATCATCTTCTCTTATATTATCCATTGAAGATTTGGAGGCCTAAATAATAGATTCCAATTGGACCCATATATGAATATACACCAACAAAAATACGCATAAAACAACATATACTAATATGACTTTATGAGCATGGAGGCACAAATGAGATTAATTTTAGAAGGAGGAATATGAGTAATGAACAAACTATGGCTATGACAGTGGCCATAGTTTGCATTGATAAATTTGAATTGATCTGCAAAAATTACATAAGTAAGGTCGTGGTCAACTTCCTGGTAATTATGAGCAAACAAACTATAAAAATAATTTACAAGTTATAACTATGTTAAATAATTTACAAGTTATAAACTATAAAAATAAGAGTTGGGAAGCAGCCATTTCTGGGCTGTATGTCTATTGGAGCCAGAATCCTTAAATTTGAGGAACATTGATCTTGAACTTACTATGTTAAATACTGCCTTCTAGATTGTAAGTGGATCTTTGTATTCATTCTTGAAAAACCTTTGGTTCCTCACTGTCCGTAAGATATAAACTATGGCTGTCAGACTTAACTTTCCAGATGGTATTTTCCATCTGTTTTCCTTTCCACTTGGTAGCTGTGAGTTTAACAACGTATGGAAACTACTATAAATATGAATAAGTTTAAAGATGAAAAGTCAATACTCCATGGACACATGGTCTGTCATTTTCCTTTTGAAAATCAATACAAGTTCATCCAAATACCCCCCATATAGTACCAGGGGTGGAGCTAGAAACTTTTTTCAGCGAGGGCAACTTATGCCACTATAAAAAATTAAAAATTGTAACACTAATGTAATTTTAAAAATCATCAGTTCTTCGTACCTTTTAATAACTACAATTTCATTAAAAGGATACTAATTGGTGACCTATCCTGCATACACAAGCAATGTAGGAAAAGTGCCAATAAGAAATTAACACTCTGATGGCCTACCGACTCACGACAAGTGAGTGATGATTCGAGTGCTTCTATTAAATTGTAGTTTGAGTTATTGTCATTGTTTGAGGATGATTAGATCTCTGACTTGGTGTGTCATTACAGAGGAAGAACAATAAATTTGAGATAGAGGAGAAACTAAAAAGAAAGTCGTGAATTAAGTCGCTTGAAGATATTTTTAAGTTTAATTCTTAAGACTCTATGACTCTCTTAAGTCTAATTTTTTAAATTAAGAGAGAATTGTACTTATTCTCTAAAATATAAAATTATCCAAAATCTTTTATATTTCGTTTTTGTTAATTTATTTTATTCTAAAACATAATATTCAACAAAGCTCAAAACATGCCCTACAAAGACGAAAAAAAAAAAATTTAGAAAATAGATTTCTCAACTTATAGGCACACACCTAGTCTATAATATATGTTTTTATTAATCAAGAAAGTTTATTCT